CGACCTAGTGTCTGGTGGAGCTGACCGAGGTATGGAAGCAACAATCAAGGTGTCATCCTGATAAGAAGCCTGATTAGCAGTACCAGAGGGTTTTCCATGTAAATTCCAACAGAAATCAACAATGTGTCCTCCACGGCGATAGTGAGTACAAGAACGAGATCCATTACGACCTCCACGACCACTTGTACGACTTTCGCGACCACCTTGATGACCATCACTATGGTTATTAGGAACTACAAGAGCTGAGCGATCAGTGGAGACACCATGATCAATTACTGAGGTAGTAGACAGTGTAGCACGTTGTAAACGAGAGAAAACCTCCAGCAATGATGGAAGACTAGATCCACCCAAAATTTGAGAACGAATAGTCTCATATTCAGGTTTCAATCCAACTAAAAAACGAACAACATTCAGGTCCTCATGTTGTTTTTGCCAAACTGCTGCATCAGTAGTAAACGGATGGTAAGTTTTCATCTCCTCACAGACTCCCCGAACATGAGAGTAATTATCCGCAAGGCTCAGAGTACTCTGCTCCAACCGGAAGTACTCCTTGCACACCTCATACGCACGGGTAAATTACCTGTACCAGAATACATAGTGGCCAAGTGATCCCATATCTCTTTGGTAGTATCAAGATAGAGCAGATAGGAGCTAATATTGGGCTCTATGCTATTCAACAATAAAGAAATAATTTGAGCATCCTCTTGTTCCCACTGATCATACCCTGGAGTGTCCTCCTTGGGTTTAGAACCCATCAGATATTTCTTAAATCCTTTTCCTCGAAGAAAGACTTGAACAGATCGTGACCATAAAGTATAATTAGTCCCATTGAGTTTGACAGAAGTCATGAGCCCAGTGATAAGAGTAGGAGGAAGCAACACAGGATTTTTGGGTTCCATAATAATGCAGCAAATAGCAAAGCAGATAGCAAATAAGAAGTGTTGTAGGACTGAACTGGACAAGAGAAACCCACTTGAAAGCTGAACCAAATTGAAACGAGTTTGGACCGGTCGGGTCTGGTCTGGACTGGACCGGTCTAGCTGGACTTGATCAGGATACTGAACCGGGTCTGGACTGGTCTGGCTGGAACAGATCTTCTCCTTCTTTGGTTAGGGTTTCTACCAAACCCTATGCGTTCACTATTGAACACCACCACACCACAACACCGGACACCACCAAAACACCTCCACAGATCACCACGAAGATAGGCGACTACACCACGACGAACAATCGCCACCACGAAGACAGTCGACTGCCTTCACTGTTGAACACCACCACAACGCCGAACAGTAGCACATCGTCAACTACCACCAGTCGACTACCACTAACGTCAACCACACCAATCGACTACCACAAGCCACCACCGTCGTCACTGTTGAACACCACCACGACGCCGAATAGCAGCACACTATCGACTACCACCAGTCGACCACACCGATGAACTACCACAAGCCACAACCAAATAAAAAAAAAATTCGATGAGCAGTACACCTATCAATTACCATCAACAGTAACAACAACAAGATTAATGCTCTGATACCATGTTAAGTTAAGAGAATTAATATAACACAATATTAGAGGCAATATTAGGGAGAAAGAGAGAGGTTAGAAAACTTAACCTAACTCTCATACATAACTTGTATTTATAGTTAACTTACAATAATAATAATAACACATACATCCCTTTTACTATTAATAACTTACACATACTACTACTCTATTATTCTTAACAACACGTATCAAACAACAACATCAATCCAATTCCAAGAATTCACAAGTCATAGCACGTCCATAATACCTCTCATCAGGTAATCGATCCCACATAGATCCGTGTCTCCCGAATCTATCGGGAACACTACAGTGCTAGCACACCACTGCACGTCCAGTGATCAAGCATCGACGCTCTTGTCTCAGACAGTGCGCCACATTCCACAATACACAATACAAAGCATCATCCAATCACATAAGCACATAGCACATAATCCTGGAGAATGCTATTAAATTCTATCATCTAACATCATCTTATAATAACATTTTCAAAACATATAAAAATATACACACACCTCAAATATACTGATCTACTGCCCTTCGGTTCTATCGGTGGATCCTTCCAGTGTTTTTGTAACCGTCTCTATACCAACTGTCCTACCTGTTCCACCTAACACATCAATATTAATATGTTGATCACATTAAATAATTAATCATGCACTAATGCATGCAAGATAATTCAACCCAAAGTGTCCCGGTAACTCCTGGTATCGCACTGTTCACTCACATACTGACATATTAGATTTAGGGATCATATATTTTTTCCCAAATCTTCAAAATCACTCACATTAATTACAATTAAGATTTAGTAGGTCAAACACATTGACCAGGGACCCATTTTTATACATTTCGACTCCGAATCCCAAAAATTACACTTCCGTCATTTCGTATATTCCGCATCGGATATTATATTCATTTGCATTTGAAATTTACATTATCACATTACGCATCAATTAAAAATGCAACATGCAAAATTTTAGGTCATTTAAATTAAAAATTCATACAAGTATTACTATTATTTAGAAATCAGGGTTTCGGCATTACCGACACCCATTTTCCATTATTATCATACTTTCTTTTAAAACAATTTTACCTAAACTCACACACTCCCTAACTCATGCAAATCAACCTTTTAATTGAACCCTTGAACTCTCCATTTTACGCCCAAAATCTCAATTTCAACTAGCCACCTAAAGCACCCAAATATTAATTTTTTTCACATTTTTCTCACATCCAATTGAATCCCCACTTTAAACCACTAAATTATGTTCCACACACTTAAATTAGACTCATAAAAATCTGTTTTAGAATTAAAATAAAACAACTCATTATTTTAACACAAAATAACCCACTAATTATGTTTAATACATTTAATTTAAACTCACCAAAATATGTTTTGAAATTACACTAAAACAATTCTACACATATACACAAATACTTAAAATTAATCTCACACACACACACACACACTAAAATGAACACACACATACACCCTTACCTTCTTCTTGTTTCCTTCTTACTTTTGGTTTGACATGGAGTCCCCCAAATTCTTCTTTCTTTCTTTGTTCTCTTTTTTTTTTTTCTTTCTTCTTCCTCTCCTTTACTCTCCCTCACTCACGGTTTCATATAGCCTGAACACATACACACACTTGTTTGTCTTTTAAATACATTCATTTTACTACATATTAAAGTACACACACACATTGTTCTATGCATTACACACACATTCTTTACTACACCTTAAGACACACACAAACACTTGACATACACACACCCACATATATAACTTTTAAAAATAACCTACCACCTTTTATTTGACACATGTGTAAAGATATTTCCATGCAACTTAATAATTATACTTGTCTCCCTCCAAATTCTTAAGTGATTCCAAAACCAACCCAATATTATTTTCATACACAAAATTATATCTAACAATTAATTTTATATAATTGCAATTAGTCCACATAATTATACTAATATGTATGCAATGCATGATCGAGTCTCACAGATGGTGCCGACGACGATGACAGTGGTAGTTGTTGTGGCAGAGGTGATGGTGATGGTGACAATGGTGGAGCGGTGGTGGTGCTAGTGAGGATGATGGTGGGGCAGTGGATTGATTATGATAGTGGTGATGATAAGGTGAGATAATTCCAAACACTATTTTTTTTTATATAGTACTTATGCGAAATTATAAGTTCTAGAAGCACTTTTAAAAAATTACTTTAAACATACCATTAGCTGCCTATTTTCTTTATTAAATTTGAAGTATTAATATGAACTATCAGATTAGTTTTAAAGTAAAATTTATAGAGATATTAACCGCGAAAAATAAAATTCATTTTATTTATTTTTTGAAATTTGAATTGTATAATAAAATACAATATAATTCAAATTCCAAAAAATAAATAAAATGACTTTTGTTTTTCATAGTAGAAATCTTTTTAAATTTTACTTTAAAGTTAAGAGTAATGCTAGATGGACTTAAAAAGTAGACTTCATAATCTCAACCATTGAATAGGTAGTGAATTCCAATAAATGCTGAAACCCATAGTGAAATTAATGGTTGAGATTATCAAGTCTACTTTTTAAGTCCATGTAGCATTACTCGTTAAATTAATTCGACGACTAATATTAACTCCTCAAATTTAATGAAAAAAAATAAGCCCTTAAATATGTGTTAGGCATAACTTTTCAAAAGTGTTATTAGAACTTATAATTTCTTATAAGTACTTTAAAAAAAATAATAATAATTTGAATTGACCTACCACCACCGTTGCCACTTAACTATCATCACCACTACCACCGCACCCCACCACCATAACTATCATCGCCACCACTATAGTCACCTCACCACTACCACCACTATCACTACTGTCACCACCCCCACCACTGCCCCACTACTGTTACCACCCCCACCACTACTATCATCGTTACCCACCACCCGATTGTTACTACCGTCATTTACGGTCACCACTCATCACCATCATCATCTCATTTTTATATTTATTATCACTACCATTGTCGCCCACCTTCACCACCATCGTTGCCCACCCCCACGCCCCCCCCTACCACAACCCCCCACCACACCTACCACAACCCCCCCACCATCATCACCACCCACCACCACCATTATTACTCCACCACTGTCACCCATGACTATCACTCAAAAACCACCACCACCACCATTACCATTGCCATGGCTGCAACGACCATTACGATCATTGTCGCCCATCACAATTATCATCGTCTCCCACCACCACTGCTCACCTCACTACAATCGATACTTAAATTTTTTTCTCTTTTCTTTTTGTTTGTGATTTGATTTTAAATGTGAATATAAATATGTTTATTGTTGATCATTTTTTTATTACTCCGTACTTTTAAGCACAAACAATAACTTGTATATATATATATATATATATATATATATATAGCAAGACTATAACAATGTAAAGCTTATGCAACTAACAGAGCAAAGTAAAAATCATCACATCAGATACAAATTAAAGGGACTACGATTTATCCAAGTTTTTCGGTGTGGTTTCATGCCTAGTGACTTGATGAAACTGAGTTTATAACAAAAGACAGCAACTTAAAGCATAAATCATGGAAGCTTTACATAGTATGTTCTGAAAGAGATTTGGAAATCGACTGGGCAGGAAAACTTGAAGGACACTTGTCATTGAGCCAACATACTCAAAGCCTATAACTATCGTATCCTCCTAGACCAGAAGATCCATAGCCACCGTAGGTTTGTCCTGCAAAGGACGACGACAAATAGGACTCATTGCCCAACTGAGAGTAGGAAGGCCTCAAAGCAGAGTCTAACTTCCCATAACTGTCTGGAACTGAAACATCGTGGCTGCTCATACATTCCTACAAAAAGAGGAGAATGCAACTATCAGCTTGCTTCCGACTGCCTTTCTTCTTAGAAAGACCCATGTTCCATTATTTCCGGACTTTTACAAGCCAATAAACATTGCTACAAGAACTCCCTCCATGAGAAATCATGCACTTAAAAAATGGTCCTCTTAACACACTTTTTTACAAGGAGGCTATTTGTGAATGGAAAAAAGAGTATCTTCCATTTAAAATTCAAATTAAGCTATGTTGTCTGGAACTGAAACATCGTGGCTGCTCATACATTCCTACAAAAAGAGGGGAATTCAAAAAAGAGTATTTGTCAAACCTGAATGAGCTGCTGAGCTGTCTGAACTTGTGATGAGGTCCCTTTAATTTCCACAGTAATTTCATCTGGTAGACCTCTACTCTCTTGCACAGTGAGGATTGCACCACTAGTACGTCGAATGTAAGCAATATTGGTCCCTCCAATCCCAATGATATCCTCAGCAAAAGTCAGTGGTATTTGCATTGTTTGTGATATCTGATTAGACGAAGCGGCAGACCATAAAAAAATACAAGACCAGGCCAACATCATATTGCGTCACATAAAAAAAGATAACAAGTAAACAATCAAAATAGAGAAAACTGTCCACCCGCCCATCCCTCCCTATTTTACTAGCTCTATTTTTTTTGATCAATCATACTAGCTCTATTCATACGCCAGCATTATATAGTGATATTTAACACAAGTAAAGACCTAAATAAGAAAGAATAACACGGATTGCAGAAAAACAAGTTGAACAGACGAAACACAAAAAAATACAAAGCCTGCCAGCGATTTATTTAAAAGACTAGACTTTAAAGTGTACAGGCTGAAATTTATATCAACCATGTAGGAAGTCAGCAGTGGCCTAATGACTCCGCATCCCACCGTTGGACTGATAGGTCGCGGATTCGAACTTCAGCATTATATAGTGATATTTAACACAAGTAAAGACCTAAATAAGAAAGAATAACAGGGATTGCAGAAAAACAAGTTGAACAGACGAAACACAAAAAAATACAAAGCCTGCCAGTGATTTATTTAAAAGACTAGACTTTAAAGCACACAGGCTGAAATTTATATCAACCATGTAGGAAGTCAGCAGTGGCCTAATGACTCCGCATCCCACCGTTTGGACTGATAGGTCGCGGATTCGAACTTCACTAGCCCCCTCCCCTATAAACTTTAGTGACCAAAAATTATCAACCACGTAGGATGGCTCTAGTTTGGATTGCAACAAGAAATTTCACGAGGAAGATTTAACTATGTTGCTTTATTCCTTATATCACACTAATGTGGTTAAAGAATTTAGGTTTTGTCAACTGAAATATGTCTAAACCTAGTTTGAAAGTTTGTAGCCTTGAAATTCATGAATCGCAAAGAACTAATGAGGAGGTAGCAGAACAGAGGTTCCAGAGGCTTAACATAAAATAGTAGATTTTGCAATTGAGAACACCAAAAACTAGAAAATAAAATTTTTTAGGTAACAGCAATACCTAGACTTAAATGCCTTAACAATTAAAATCTAAAACCACCAACCTGGGTAATAATAGGACCACTCGCACGACTAAGTCCTGAAGAACGGAGTCCGGAAAGTCCAGGATCTTGTCCATACAGTGAAAGAGCAGTAGATGAAGAACGTTGTGACTCCAGCTGAGTTTCACGTTCAAGAAACAGAGAGTCCCTCCTAGCTGATAGAGAATAATCAGTACCGATTCCAGTTTGTGAAGCACTATGGTGCATTGTCTTGTCAGCCCATGTCTCTACCTGGCGATCTTGTGAGACTGGTGTATTGTACTGTAAAAAAAAAAAAGCATAGTAATCTTAATCACAGTGCCTCAATCTATTAACCACCAAATGAAACAGAAATTAACTTACACTCTTTTCAAATAGGGGAAGCACACTATGATCAACCAAAAACTTCCTCAGGTGCCCCACCACTGCTTCTAGTGCTTTAAGAACTTTAAAAGCTTCTCCCTGCAATTCCACAATCCTCTCATCCGAGTTGGCAATTAGCATTTCATCTGGCAGAACAAATATGGAGAGCATCATTTACCCCCTTGGTTCGAGTGGATGAAGTTATGCAGTTGAGTTCCACAACAAACATGCAAAAAAGGAGGTGAAACATTTACAGATAAAACTTGCCCCACCTAATATGTGTGTGTGTGTGGAAAAATAACATGGATGCCCATTTTATCTTTTGAAACTCGTTCTAATTTGCCCAGTAAATTTCTCGACACTAAGGACATCCCCAAGAGCTGGCAATTTTCATTTTGCCTCAATTTTAACCTTCAAAAATTACAATCATATCACTGATGCCATCCACTTCTGTGTCTAGCAATCAGTTCCTTCTATAAAATTAGCTCAAAAAGGTCATTGCCTACGGGTTTGAGTGCGTTCTGCTTGCCATCTCCACAGACTCAATTGTAACTAGCAATCAGTACATAGCACGCCGATCCCAAAAGTCAATAAGAAATAAATTTCTCTCAGACTATATAGGACTTCACTAACAAAGCAAAAAATGTAAAAAAAAAAAAAGATTCAGAACCTCAAAATTAACAGCTCAAATGAAAATACAAAAAAAAATATCTAATAAAAGTTCCCCAGTCAAAACAAATGGAAAGGGCCCAAAAGACTTGTATCAACTAGTCCTCTCAACTTCAATTTGTTTGGATTTATCATTAGCTTCAACTAGGGACTTGAATGAAAGGGATGAATTGATACAATTTCATCAATATAAAGTTAAAAATTGAGAAAAAATGAACTTGACCGGACAAATTGAAACTAGTGGCATAGTTCAAGGGCATCTATGCAATTTGCCCTATCCACAAACCTACTATTAATTAGCTGATTAGTCATATGTTTGTTATATTTGGAGCATTGTTTGCCTCATTTGCTTGAGTTGATAACATTATGTAGGTGAGTTAGACACAACAGACAAGCAAAAAATAACTGAGAAAGTATATCTAGGTCATTATTGCTTTTACAATTTCAGTTACACCAACCAATGGGTTTCATTTTGTGTTTTTCTCTTCCGGTTTGTTGCATTCTGAAATTTACCCTTTATTTTAGTATTATTTTTTTGGGAAATTTGGAGGCCAGTCCCCCTATATGGACTTGTTTGGACTTAAGTCCGTCAAGGAAATTTATTTGTTATGAAGTCCATTTTTTGTCAATTTTACCATACTATCCCTTTCCTTTAAAAGTGAAATAAAATTAAAAATTAAATACTCCTAAATCTTAAGAGTTTGACTAACATTAAAATTTTTTTTCTTTCATATCTATCTATATCCATATATAGGTTAAGAGTTTGACTAACATTAAAATTTTCCCCCTCTTATCTATCTATATATAAGTTATATATATAGTAACATTAAAAATAAAAAATAAAAACATTAAAAATAAAAAAAAGTTATCATTTAGACACAAAAAATAATACATTTAAACACAAAAAAATAGTAACATTTAAACATAAAAAAAATTGAAACATTCAATATTAATATTTTTAAAAAATAACAACAGTAACATGTTCAACAAAAATATTAACAAGTTCAACAAAATAGTAACATGCTTAACAAAAACTGTAACATACTTAATAATAATTATTTCTCTCAAATTCAAATGCAAAAATAGTACTATTCAAATACTAAAAATAGTAATATTCAAAAAAAAAAAATAGTAACATTGAATAGTAATATTTAGAAAAAAAATTGTAGTAACATGTTCAACAAAAACAATAACATACTCAAAAATAATAGTACATAAGCAGTAACATACTTAATAAAGCAGTAACATGAACAGTAACATAATAAAAAAAAATAGTAACATGAATTTAAATTTTACTATATATATATATATATATATATAACCTATATATGAATATAGATAGATAAGAGAGAGGAAAAATTTTAATGTAAATCAAGCTCTCAACCTATATATGGATATAGATAGATATGAGAAAGAAAAGATTTAACTTATTTTCAATGAAGGGTATTTTTGAGATAAAAAAAAAAGTAAACTTAAGTCATTACATATAATTTTAAACATGGACTTAGCCCCTGATAAGTTTCCTTACATGACTTATCTCCAAATAAGTACATCTAGGGGGACCCACTTTCAGTTTTCACTATTTTTTTAACTGTTTTGCATGCCCACTAATACTTAGTTAACTTTTAGTGTGACCTTGCCCCTCTGTTGGTTTGTCAATGCTATAAAAAGATGAATATTATGTCATAAGGCCTGACAGATTAGTAGCTGTCAACATAAAATACACTGTCAAAAAATTTGTTGCACAAGGTAACAATTATGATAATATTAACAAGCTCAAGGAAACAACTAAAACATACCAGTAGAGAGAATCCGGATAGAGGCACCAGAGCTCTCTTGCATTGACTTGATTAAAGAGCCTTGTTTTCCAATTAAATTAATGGCTTGTGTGGATGCTACCAATAATCGGATTGAACTAAATGCAGCCACAGCTGCTCCAGGTGCTTTATCATCTCCCTCACTCTCGGGCAGTCCACTAACACGTTTGAATACTCTTACTGCAGCATCCATTGCAGGGGATAGTAGTGCCTCTAGTTCCTCCTTTCCAGATATAAGGACCTGTAAAATTGAAGAAACAATATTACAATTGAACACTAGAGCTCATCAACCAAGCAGAAACAAAGGAACTAAATGAAATGGTTTGAACAATAAAAACAAATGCAACAAAATAGGGTCAAATGATGTGGAAAACCACCAAAGTTTCTGAAAAAAAAAATCCACCATTAATAATAGGATATGCATAGTAGTAAAACATAAAAGCAAAAGAGCTAAGTGTAACAATATTTTGGTTGTGTTTTCGAGTGCTTAATAGTTCCAAAAACCAATCAAATGTAACTATACAACACATTAAGAACAAAACACAGTGCAAACATTCCCACTTTCTCATTTACTCACAATAATAAGCTAAAGACTTCAGTCGATTTTAAGAGTACTTGCATAAAGTCCAGGAAAGTCTATAAACACGGGACACCTGATTTATTAACATTAAATAGGATGCCCTCATAATAGGCATGGAAACAAAGACTGACAGAATCACATTGCAAGATGTGGCTCCAACCCCAACAATACAGACCTGAAAAGACTACAAACAGAGGTCACATCCCCTTATCATAAGACGGAAAGACAGATTTACACTGCAAGGTTTGGATCCTATCCAATTTAAAACTATCTCCAATCCAATTGTCCACCTGACCATAGTTGGTCATGCTTAAATATAAGATATATGATTTTTTTTTAAAAGAATTGTAGAGAAATCAGAATAAGAGAGAAGCCTTATCCGACCTTGTACACAATTCCAATTTCCCACTATTGCAAAAGGATAAAGAGTTTCACACACCAATGTGCACATAAAAAGGTCCTGTTAATTGAGGCTTTGAGGGGAGAGGGAGCAAACTGGGTACAAACTAGGGGAAAATTGTATCCAGACATAATCTTAGGCATTATTTGCACAAATAGGCTATGTTTGCATTGTTGGTACTACACTTTTAGCACTGCACCAGATAATGGCCCCCCTCACTCTTGGTAGACAACTGAAGAGAAAACGCTAGAAATAGGCATGTAAAGACATAATCACATAAAATATATAGTTCCAATTTACCACTTATTCACAATCTAAGTCCTTTACCCAATTCTTCCATTATTTGAAAACAACAATGTTGTCTACCACACTTTTTGCAGTCACCAGACGATGGCCCATTCCACTGTCTATATGCATATGAGTCGTATGAGGAGAAAACCCTAGTAATAGGCACGTAAAGAACGAGCCGCAAAACATATAATGTTCCAATTTACCACAAATTCACAGGAATCAAAAGGGATTTTTCACAACTCTCCCACTAATTGCATACAATAGTCTCCCACAAACAGCAACAAACACTGTCCATACATTATGACAGAAAAAGACACATCGAAGCTAAAACCCCTAGCAATCAAGAAAACCCCAGAAACAGAAATAAAAGCATACGTATACGTATAAATGTTAATGTTATATATATGTAGGTGTACGCGGTAGATAGATAGATAGGGGGGGAGAGAGAGAGAGAGAGAGACTGACAATGCGATCAGGAGTGCCAAGTGGGGCATCAAGAACCCGGATTTTGGCTCTCGTCTCCTCACAAATCTTCTTGATGAGCTCCCCCTTCCGTCCAATAATGCTACCGACCTTCAACACCGGCACGATTAGTCGAAACACGCAGTCCCCTGGCCATCCTGGCCATTTCTTGTCCGCTTCCGCAGAACGCATCGTAGTCCTCGTAGCGGCGGTTACCGTCGGAGCAGCTGAATCTGAGGAGGGTGGTGGGGAGGGTTCTCCTCGGTTTTTGTCTCTGTTGTTTGTGGCTGCTCGGTGGCCTCCGTCTTAGTGGTGGGTTCGGGTGTTTCGGTTGGGTCTAGTTTAGGGGAATTAGTAGAGCCATTTTCGCTAGGTTGTTCATCGGATGCCATTCTTTGGCGTGCGGGGGTGTGCGAGAAGAGAGAGAGAGTGAGAGACGGTGAGAGCTGTTGATATGGGTGAGGGGATTAGTAGGAGACGACGAAGCAGTGAAATATCTAGGGCTCAGTGGATATGGGCCTGAAGGTCCAGGCAGGCATGGAGTCCAATTACGTGTTGGTACCTTCCTTCCACGTGTTATTTAGGCTAATTTTATTTTACACCTGTAAGATATTTTAATTTTTACTTTGTATCCTTCCAACATAACAAATTTTAATTTGTATCCTCGGTATTATGAACTGATAGCAATGTTTCTTGTTCAGTTTTTTCTCATAAATTGAAATACGTGAGGTACAAGTATTTTGAATATGAGGATAAGGTATGTTTATCGTTGTAAACCTTCGTCAATGATCAATTTAACACCATTTTGTGAATCAAAAATATAATTTTTATTAACAATAAAATTATTCATCCCAAATGAGTTTATAAAATGTAATCTCAAATGATGTGGTGAAATCCTATGCATTGAATGTTTAGTGAGACCGAGGGAGATTCACTGATCTAACCACCTACAATAATTTACTATACAAATTTTAGCAAACAATTTGACAGGTATAACAATGCTCTTTTATTAATCAAATAGCTTAATCATAAATATAAGGCGCCTACAGTCTACGACCAACAATGAAATTTTCAATGGTAGAGTGCACATCAATTTTATAATTTACCACTGATCAAAAACAGTTGCATGACAATTAAAAAGAACTTTTCGTCAATGCAACTTGGTGGTGCTCGAAAATAATATTCCAAGTCCAAAATTGACGCTAGTTGACCCAGAGAAGATGCGGAGTAAGCGAAAAAATAGAACATGGTATAAGTGGTTTACCTTAACCGAATAACTAAGGTTATATCCACTATAAGAAAGTCTCTTGCTCCTTGAGTTTGTATATTACTTGAAATAAGAGATTACAACGGCGCTGTTGGCTTAGGGTCTTTACAGGAAAAATGCTTAGATAATGTAAACTTGCCTATGTAGGTGACTTATGGGATTGTGAGGAAGACGATTCTTTTTTTTTTCACTGTAACGTAATGGTATCTTATTTATATAAGTAATTATTCTAGGGTTTCTTACTACTCCTTCTTCCTTTTTTGTTGATTTTGTGGGCCTTTTTACTTTTGTCATGTAACAATCTCTGTCACATGACTTCATTGCACCCACAGTTCTTGAATAATTACGCACACCAATATTTTATGTAATAGAAAGTTCGCGTTTGTTATGGGTGTCGGACGTAATTCATTTGCCTTTAGGACTTGCGGCGGGACAGGCGCTTTCACGATTGGCATTGTGGTGAGCTGATTTATCCCGAGTTGACGTTCGGCTGAGTTGGATTGGGCTGGACTGGACTTTGAGCCTTCTGGTACCGTTGGACTTTACCCTTTGGGCGCAGTCCATTCCACTCTCGTCGTGGACAACCTGCCACTCTTGTCTTGGATAAGCTGCTGCAATCTGTTTGGACCACTGCACAAGTAGAGGCCTCCTGAACTTTATTGGGCTCTTGATTATGGTGGCCCAAACCCAAAATTCATTATTATCACAACTTATAATTTTAACTTCAATTAAAAGAATTAAACATAAAATTACAAGCCCTAAAACAACTAAACTATAAGCATGCAATTCAAAATTCAAACTCGTTTTTGATTTGATCCCAAAAATTTATGCACTTACTCTATCGTAATTTTTGTATAATAGCAAAATGAGACCCATGTTATTTTTTTCAAAAAATAGAAAATTACTAAATGACCAAACATATCCAAAATTTAATCGGACATGTCCATAGAATACATAAGAAAATGATAAGGTAGGTACAATAAAATGTATTGAAATAATATTTTAAATTTTATAGGTAATATCTTATAAAAGAAAATTAGGGCAGGGATAATCTCCGCCGGTGTTTAGTTTACTAATTTTCTTGATAGATCTAAATAGCCCGAATATCAATTCCTATATATGTGAATAGCTGAACTGATAAACATCTAAATAATCAAATTTCCATCGTAACCCGATCCATTGAGTTATAAATTATATTTTCGACGCAATATCTTCTCTAATATGCTAGTTTTAACCCCAAAAATAATCATAAATATCTTCTCTAACATTTTTCTCTTCAATTAGGACCGTTTCGAAAAACGTTTTTAAGGGAAAAAAATGGTTTATAAAAGTGAATCATATTCAATAGCCATGTAACAAAATGATGTATATAGATATTATTAATATAAAAACAAAATACACTAGTGTATGTGCATATATTATACTGCACATACGATGAAGTTTGAAAGAATGGACTAAGACTGACAAGACAAAAGCAAAAATGCCAAAAAGGGCAATGCGTAAAATAAACATACTTTAAAAAAAGCGAAAAAAAAAAAACATTACCAAACAGTATCTTAAACAACATTCACATTTTGAATAGAGTTTCATTCCAAATACAGCTCAAGGGCAGCTAAAAGGCCACTAGGATTCCTCCAACCAACAAACTTCATCTATCAAAATCAACATTGACAAATCCAAGTTGCTCAAGTCTCTGAACAAGTTCTACACAAACACTCGGATGTTCAACTCTCATTAATCATCAAGTTCCTCTCCACCTTAATAATCACACCAATGCCACGACAAAAGCTTCCAGACCAGAATAAGCTGAATCATGAAAAAAAAAAAAACACGAGACTATACACCAGGTTAAAAGAGTCGAGACCAACACTCTCACAACCCCCTCTCCAACAAATCGAAGTTGACAACAGCAGAATAGTATTGAGCTTCGAAATGCTAATTTCTACACAGGAATGACATCGATCTTCGAAGAGTCCTCGCATCTCAAAATAATGCCCTCAAGGCTGGCAGGAAGAATGCATTTAGCCCACTGACATCCTGTAGAAAATGGCTCCGGTGGAGGAACAATCATCAGCACATTATCATTTCGCTGGACAACTCCCATCACACTAACTGTACTGCCTTCTTTGATGTACCTATTGCAATCAATCATAGAAAAGAGGCATATACAATGTTAGATGATAAAATTGTTTTATTCCTTTCTTCATTCCTTTTGGGGGGTGAGGTGGTTTTTTTTTTTTTCTCGAAATGAACCTCACATGTAAAGATACATTGATCATTTATGAGAAACAATCATCAACACCTACACAACAACTTCTAATCCTCAATATCCCACTTTCAGAATAAACCTTCTCAAGAATACTTTTAGGAAAGCATTAATTGTCACCAACTTTTTACTTTTTAATTGCTAAACCTAATCGAGTTTGCATTTCTCAGTAATTTCCACTTATGGATTGTGCAATTGGAAATATAATGGGTTTGGCACAAAACAAGATAGAATTTTACCCTTCTTTGAGTCGCATTATACGATCATCGCTCGAGAGCTTTCTTTCTCCCATCCACCTGATGAATTCTGGAGACATATCCCTGTTTGACTGATTGATGTCAACAACAACGGATTCATCGACGTATGGCGTCACCCTAGCACCATAACCAGTCTTAACTAATGCCCTCAACCCAGACTGGAAGTCAGAAATGTAGAAATCAACCACATGCCTCTGCAGTTATATATCGAAAACATCAGTCATGCAGAAAATCAATAATTTCTTCCACCCTAACAACTAGCTAGAGAAGGGCACCAAGTGTAATACTAAAGCTCAATCACGTATGGCTGCAACATAAAAAAATGCAGATGATTGATGAAGGGAAAACTGCTAAATAATGTGCACAACTAAAACAAAAAGCATGATCATTCTTCGAACGTAGGAACACTCATTGAAAATCCTATATTAAGGTTCTGATTTCCTGGTTTTGTAGATGAATGACAATTCAGAAAAATCACAATGGCAAGCCTTTCTCACCTCAAGTGACCGGATACCCCAAGTAAAACGGCGATGAGTGGGGTTCGCAGCTTTTGAATCCCATCCTCGGTACTCGTATAAACTTGTCGATGTATAAACACATCTAGGAACCTTTTGGAATGAGGACTCTAGAGGTACATTTCCGCAAGTAACGACCTTCAAGGAATCAACCCTCCCTTTGTTAGAACAACATGAGCACATTTGCAGAAATCTAATGGATGCAATTAGGGAACGTATAAACTGCTTGATCAACCAAACAAATCTTCAGATGATATATCCTAAACATTGGTGTATCTTTTCTCCAATGGGATAAAATTAGACCATAGAAATTATCAGAAAATGCAAAAAGGAAACAAAACCATTTTACTTGCTTATTACCATGCCTAGCACTATTGCAAAACATTGAGGAAACAAATTTGCCTTCTCTACCCAATTTTTTTGTTTTCATGGGTTCTATGAGGTTGATGTTTTGGATTCAAAATTTCACCCTCCACCCAAATAAATACCATTGTAACGTACATTTGTCATCATTTTGACAGAATCCTTATCCACCACCCATGGAAGTCCCCCCACTATTGGACTTCCAAAAGAACAAAACAACACTTGGTTTCAAACCTCCATAAGCTTCAAGAAATCATGCATTGATTCCATTTCTCCATCAACCCAAAAATCATTAGCTTATTACAATTAAAGCCTCTAAGGAATTAGAAATTGGACCAGAGACGTCCACAAAACTTCACAGATTAGCTTTCTGGAAAAAATTGGAACTAACATCTTGTCTAGCAATAGCATACAGCTTGAAACTTGATGATCAATCAGTAAACAGAGAACCTGAAAATATGTATACTTAAAGCATTCTACATATAGGCAGGCACACACACACACACACAGAGACATATAGAGAGAGACATAGTTTCAGAATTTGTCAAGATGGTAATTACCCCAGAAACTTTAACAAATTGGCCGTCCCTGGCAGTTCTAAGCTCAGCATCTGGATAACGAGCAATGAAACCTGTTATAGCTCGTCTTCCCCAACAAGTATTCCAGGTGAAGACCGTACCGACAGCAACAAAAAGAATAACAACAACAATGAGAAGAATTGAATTGTGGACTGCCCCAAGGATAAAACCACCAGCAATGAACCCCATCACAAACAGCAAAATTATCGACCAAAGAATTGCCTTTGGAAAGCTCTTTCGGAATGAATATTCCTCCTCCTGGGAAAGATGAGTAACAGCTTGGTTGTGAACCATAGAGATACTGTGCAGCTTGAGTGATCCTGTAGAGTCCAATTGGCCAGATACCTTTCGAGGAGCCCCTGATGAATTAAGTGGGCCAGAAGAAATTGGCCCAGAAGTAATGAGGCCTGTGGCTGGAAGAACTGGAAGAAGAGGTCCAGAATTTTGGCGGGAAACAGCTGTTGCCCCTCCAGCTTGAGGACCTGATGACTTCTTCATCGGTTCCCCATGTTTACTTAGTGGCCCAGAATTGGTCTTCTTTAATGAAACTGAACTGGGAACACTACCAGAAGAAACCGAACCCATCCGATTTACGGAATTCAACTGGCCTGAGTGAGATGCAGCTCCACCAAACGACCCTGTCCTCGAAGGGGCATTATTTATAGGTCCAGATTTTCTTGACCTGGAGGAATCCCCAGGGATATCAAACATTTTACCGAGTTCTCCGGACTTCTTGATATCGCCACCAGTATAAGGCATGGCAACCGAGCTCATTGTAGGAGGCCTTTCTTTTGGCTGCTCAGGCCGACCCGACACATAAAGGCCATTGCTCAATTGATGGGATGGGAATCGGGAGCCCATGATGCTGACTTTTTAGAAGCCAAATGTAATGGTGTGCACAGCAGTGCAACAACAGCCAAGAAATTCAAATGATCAAAACTTAAGGGCAGAATCCAGAACCTAGCAAATGCACTTCCCCGGTATAATTATACCTAACCAACAATAGAACAGAATAAGCTTGATAAGATTTACATCTAAGACGTGAACAATGCCTAAATCTTTACTTTAAGGTATTGGACCTCCATCTGAAAATTAACAAAAAGGCAACATAAATTTGCTCCACTTGCTGAATTGCAAATCAATATAAAGCAGCAACTATCAAAAATGTAAAAAGAGAGTGAGGGTATGATTCCCTCTCAATCAAATCTACCAAACAACGAGTCATAAAGAGATGTATTTACTTTACAAAATAGATGTGATTCTAAATCATCTAAACAAAGAACGAACAACCAAAGAAAAGAGTCAACTTTTTCCAAAAAACATGGCATAAACAACATCAGTTTTACTGACAGGGGGACTCAAAATCAAACACGAATAAAAGGATAAAAAAAGCCAAATGCACCATAGATCTAAAAACGAACAAATGAACCCCAGATACACAAATGATGAACAAGATCCAGTGGCTAACGAACCCCTAGGAACTGCCGTACTCAGTAACAATCCCTTATAAACTGTATATCGAGATCCCAGTTAAATTAAAACAAAAAACAACAACCGAATATATACACAAACACCCAGCGTATAGATTCCCTTGTGAATCGAACATTCAAATTGCCAGATCCGAAACCAAGGAAAAAGACAAACCAACAACACAAAAGCACATACCCAGTACTCAAACCACAAAGAAAAGTGCAATGTGATAGATCAGAGCACACAATTCACACGTTTATATATGGAAACGATACCATTTTAATATACGCAGAATCCCAGAAACTAAGATCTAAAAATTCAATTCGCAAAAATGGGCATTTCCACATTTGACATCAGAATCCCAAGAAATCTGAAAATCCATGTATTATGTAAGGAAAGTTAAAAGCACCCACATTTCCATTTTGACCAAGCATCAGTGAAATTAGAGAGATCAGAGACCCCTCGCAGGGCACCGGAAGCTGAGAAAGAAGAGAATGAGAGATTTTAGATATAGAAAGAGAAGGGAAGCAGAGAGGCATACCTGAAGAAGAGAGTGAGCTTGTAATGTCAAGAAGTGCAGACATGGTGGATCCGAGAAAGAGAGAGAGAGAGAGAGGGGTGCTTTTTCTGCAGAGAAATTTTCCGAAGGAAAACTCAAAATGGGGATGTGATATATTACTCACTGAGAAGGAAAAAAAGTGGAAACTGAAAACACACACTCCACCTTCCTCCTCTGCTGCTCTTTCCAGTTTTCTAATACTTCAAATATAATGACAATTGAGACCCTCACTCTGTCTACAAATATCAATTCTGCCACTGAAATTACAAATTGTTGAGAATTTCCCTTTCCCCCATTGTAAATGTAAAAATGAAGATGAGAGGTGAAAGTGGAAGAAACCCAAAAAAAAAAAAGAGAGAGAAAATGCTCTAAAAACCAAAGAACTCCAACAAGTTTCTTATCAATTGATTGTAAATCTAAATATAAACTAGGGTGAAACAAACCCAAAATATATATATTTATATATATATATATATATATACATTTACAAAAAAGAGAGAGAAAATAAAGTTACTGAAAACCATTTTAAAAAAATCAGAGATCCAACCATTTCCTTATGAAGTGAAGTGGGGTTTTTATTACTGCACCATATCAGTAGTAAACGGAACCAAAATTTTATCTTAAGGAGAGCTAAACAATGGCATAACTAAAAATTTTATTAACTACATAAATAGTTATACAAAATTTATCAAAATTAAATTTCAAACAATACAATTGTAAAAATTATTTTGGATCATAAAATTCAAGGATCAATTCTTACTTTCTTAAAAATTATTTGTGACAGCATCATGATCCTTTCATTTTCACGTTATGCTATAATGCAATTACTTGACAATAATTTATCTTTACAGATAATAATTTCACACAGTAAAAAAAAATTGAGTAGTGAGTGAACATATTATTTTTTATATAAGTCACATTTATAATCTAGTTTTGCAAAAAATTTACATTTTTTTTTAACTTTCTTTGATTATTAAACTCGTCCAACCAAACATTTTTGGTTATAAAATCATCACTTATGTATAGGTTACATTCCCCATTTGACTATTAAATATTTAATTCATTGATCTTTTCGAACACACTAAGTAAATTGTCTATGCATAAATCTTTTTAGAACCTAAGAAGAAAGAAAAACACAGATTTTTTTTTTCTTAGTGCCGCCCATGATACCAGCTAATGAGTTCAAAAACCTGATATTATTAAACCGGGTTTACAAAACCCAAAATAGGCATTGCAATTTCAATGCTGTCATTAGTATCTTAAACTTGATGGATCAATAATAATCTTTTGTTTGATATGTGTTGGTTTATAGATTCGAACCGAGACATCATGGTGGTTTAATCGAATTCAAGAGTACTTAAAAGACATGTTTTTGGAGGTGTTATATATATACCATTCAAAAGATGTGTCGGTTAACTCATTAACAAGCATATTCTTACATTGTCGTTTTTTTAAACAAATTAGTTGCTTGTATAAACCCCACTATAGCATCCATTCCACCCACTCAATTTGAAAACTCTTCCAACGTTCAAATTCTCTCTCTCTCTCTCTCTCCATACATAATGTTTAAAGAATTTTTTGCACTGCTGAAAGTTCAATGTTGATTTCTCTTGTATAACAAACCCGCATCATTAGACACATGTAAATGATAGGTGGTGAAATATCAAAATTTGAAAATAAGTAAAATACTTTATACGACAATACAAATAAGAGAAAAGAACCTTAGTCTACAATTTTGAAAGTAGTGGGCATCAGTTGATACTGTGTTTTGAAAGTATTATTATTGTTATTATTTTTAGCTTCTTTTTAAGAATTTTTCATTAGTAGCAATTAATTTTAAATTTTTTGCTTTTTTGTTTTTTTGTTAATGGGGCTTACTCCCTTCTTCTAGTATAATTTATGTACTAAAATGTTTCTAGGTTGCTTTTGCTAAATAGTAACTAAATGGACTATAATTTTTTGAAGAAATTATTTTTTTACTTAAAAAAGTTGCTTGAAAAAACCGTTATCAAATGGTATCTTAGTTTATACAATTTAAAATTTTCACATCCTATTTACTAATTCAAATTCTTGCTTCATTCCAAATCTAAAATCAACTTTGTCCACATTTACTAATTAATTGAACTAGGACATGGTAGGTTATTTGCAACCTAATTAAGGGGTGACATAAAAAAGAGAAGTAGAAATTTACAATGGAGCTATGTTTAAACGAATAACTAAATAAAGAAATCCACGAAAATGCTAGATGAACAAACTACTAACAAATAATGTTGTTTTGGTTGTATAGTGATTGATTTAACGTATTGTTAAGAATAAAGACAAATGGACTGCTTAGTGACATAAAAGGTAACAACAGTTCACCGTTCGCCCATAAGACAAGAGGATTCAAATTTGGGAGTTCACACTTATCCGAACAAGAAATTTTGACTTAGCTAAGATAAGAAGGTGGAAAACCATAATCAACATTCGCATCACATATATATTAACTTTTTAACTTAATAAATCATATTTAACCGCTACCTTAAGAGAAGGTTTATTTCATGAGTGTGTTGTGGACCTACTCTTGTTGTCCAACCCATCATCAACATATTAACTTACAGATAAAGTATCTTTGTCAAAGTAGTTGTGTATGTATAACATCTAAACGAGAAACACGAAAACCTCTGGCTTATTGAAGTGGACTCCTTTCCATCCTACATCTTATTTGTTCCTCGGGATTGGATATCAATCATTCATACCAAACACTTATTCTGATTACCATTGAGTGGGGCAGTTCAGTGGACTCCTGACCAAGCTTCTTATCCTTATGGGGTTAGATGTTTAATTTTAAAGTTTATATTAGAATTTGAGGGTTGATCGCTCTGCTAATCTAATAAAGTTCGTTTTCGAGAGATGCAAGTTAACAAACGCCGTTAAGAGTCTCATAATCATATCAGTGGGTGTCTATCTAAGTGGTCGCTAAGCACTCTCTTTTTTCCTCATCCTTTAACAATAAAAAAAACACTTAATTCTGATTTAATCTTTTTAACAAAATTGTTATAACATAAGAGTGCATATACAACTAAAAGAGTGTTCTTATAAATTAATTATAACATGTGAGAGACGATGAAATTCAAATCCGTGATTTTAAAGTTAAACAATGAGTAAAATGACCTTTAGATCAATAACTTACCTCAATTATATCATATAACTGGCCAAGACAAACACTGGGTAGTATGAATATCTGTTGGCACATGTTAGCTTTTGAACCACTTGGCTAATGTACTGTCTGATAAACTTTTTTTAAAGTGTCTTATGGATCGGTTGGATCCATAAGAACCTACCTGTAAGGAAGGATAAAGGGGTGATCTAATTAGACCTCAATGGGCTGTTTGGGATGGACTTTATGGGGGGATTGAATTGCATTTATTAAACTCTTTTAAACTCAAAGTCAAGGTTTTGTGCATGAGATAAAATAAGTTATAATATCCAATCTTATATTTGGTAGGCGGTATAATCAATTAAAATGTCTATAAATTAAATATGAATACGGATATATACAATTCAATTCATAAAAATTTAATCCGATTAATATATACATAATATATATTTGTTGGTCTCTATTATATATAATATATACATATATTTATATTGATTATTTGTATTTGATATAGAAAAAAAGATTATTTATTAAAATTTTAGTGAAATACCATTATGAATTGGATCGAGTGTCTGATTATAGGCGGAATTCGATCTGTTGACGGACTTAACACCAACTTTAGTCGAATATGTTTATAAATGTAAATAACAACTTTATTGGGGAGTAGAATGTTAAAAATGGACTTAGGTACCAAGTCTTTTTATTATGTGACATTGAGCTGCCTGCAAAGCACAGTTCAGACTGTTTTTATTGTTATGGTGCAGCTATCACTTGTCAGGATGGTACCTTCTTTACTAACCAGGACCAGACTACTAACCAAAATGAGTTGGTTATCGTTGAGTCTGTGTCAATGTGGTTGAGATGTCATCAACCCTAACTTACTCTCTCCCTTCCCCCTTCCCTTTGTAACTGAATGTCCTTCCAGGTGAGTCCGTCAGAAGTAAAAGAATTACGATTTGAGTCCTTTAGGTTTTCTTTTTTGACAAGTTTAGGCATCATATCAATTATGAATTAGTTATAACACCCGAATCGTGGATACATCACACACATATACGTTGATTTTAAGTTTTTCCTTAATAGATCTGCACATTGATTGGTCTCTCACAATTCTATTTACAATTCTTGAAATTGCTTTGTTAACAAATTAGGTCTAACCTAACTTTTATCATTGATTCTCTTAAGATTTTTGTCGATTAAGACATCACGGGGATTAATTCTTGTCAAGACAAGACTTGATTTCTCATGTTTCCATTATGGACTCATCTTTTGTTTTCTCGTTTGAGTTTCTCCTTTTTTTCTTCTTTTTTTTTGAACGGTAAAAAATGTTGGGGCCAACTTACATGCACATTTACTAATCACTTCCCCGATTTGGTTAAAGATAGATTATCCATTCATAAGGGATAAATGTCTCATAGTCTGATTCCAAAAAATTATCAAGATTCAAACTCAGAACGTTTGAATTTACAGCTCACCTCATATTACCGCTTGAGGCTATCTGTTTGGATTTTTGAGTTTCTCTTCATCTCTCCTTTGATGTTTGTTCTCTATTATAGATGCATTATTCGAAAGTTGCAAGAATTAATTCTTGATTATAAAAAAATGTATTGATCTATATCAAAAATAAAATAAAATTGCCTTATCGACCATGCAAGCAATTGCCGATTGCATAGTAGTTAGCACATGTGTATCCTATATGTACTCTAGTTTATTTCGAAGTATACCAATGGTTGAGGGCTTGGGCTATGCAATTCGAAGGCTCGAATTACAACTTTGGATAACAATTCGTTGGCCCTATAGCATTGGACTTTTGACTATGCCAGGGGGTTTATTCCAGTCGGAAAATTAATGCTATTGGGATACAATGGGCTTTGTTACAGTTGGTCTAAAGGTCCTCTACTGGATGATTTGGAATCAAATTTCTGGCACCATTGAATCGGGCTGAAAAGAAGTGGCCCAACAGGTCC